TATATATATATATATATATATAATATATATATATATATATATATATATATATATATATATATATATATATATATATAAAAAATCAGACGATCAGCCAATGAAATTTCCTTGGTTTAAACATTTCAATATTCGATATCCCCAAGCGACCTAAATCGTCTGAGGATACCGAAAGGTTCCAACCCAGATAGGGTGATTGGCAGAACTCCTGATTTTTTAAATCTATCTATCTATCTATCTATACATATATATATATATATATATATATATATATATATATATGTGTGTGTGTGTGTGTGTCTGTGTGTGTATGAATGTATGCGTGTGTATATGTGTGTGTACGTGTGTGTGTGCGAGCACGTTCAATTTTATATTCTTTATATGTCTATTGAGCACTTTTTAATAAAACTGTTTCTTGATCTAATTTAACTCTGACCAATAATGTATATATATATATATATATATATATATATATATATATATATATATATATATATATATGTACAAAGAAATAATCACGTATAGAAGGAAAGAAAGAACAGTAAGATATATAATCCGGTGTTCTTGATATTTTTTTATTTTTACAAAACAGAGCTCAATGTAAATTTACAGAGCATAAATATTATAAATTATTCGAAGATTAAACCAGGGTGATCTATATATGTATATATATAGGGTTAGATAAATAAAATAAATAGATATTAGCGATCGTATATGCGTGTGCTGGCGTACATACACTGGTAAGCAAATAAATAATTACCAAATGTATCCAAGAGGTGTAAGGAAATTCTGATATATATATATATATATAGAGAGAGAGTCTTTGCCGTTAACAATAATTTTTAAAAAAAACATCCAGACGACATGCATTTAACGGATGTCAGATTTCATTGAAGAATACATCCCTACCCCTACCAAAACTGATCAAAATACAGCGATAATGAACACGCAGACACCCCTCGTCTGGTTGAAATGAAATTCTCTGTTTCCTTGGAAACGTAAATTAGGATTTTTGCTGACTTTAAAACCCAGTAATTTTATAAGTTACTCCAAAATTCGCTTGAGGATGAAATGGAACTAATGTCTTTAATTTAATTACAGAATTAAATTCGGGGCTTTTAGCCCATTTTGAAACATGGTTAGAACTGTGTAGCTGAAAAAACCATGTTTTAAATCAATTAATTTATAATATATATATATATATATATATATATATATATATATATATATATATATATATATAATTTTATCAGCGTAGGAGATATGAAAAAAATCCTTCATGCTTTTATTATTTTTGTATTTTTTTTATTTTTCGTTGCTTAAGCAAACTTCACGTATATTTGATGAGTCAAGAAGCATGAAGTCTGCTTCACCAATGAAAATCAAACAACACAAGAATAAAAATACCAATAGCTCAATTAAACGCGAAACATGTTATTTGTTCTTCATATATATATATATATATATATATATATATATATATATATATATATATTATAATTAATGATTTAAAATATGTTTTTTTTCGCTACACAATTCTAATCATGTTTCAAAAAATAGAAACTAAAAGCCCCGATTTAATGAAATTGAACTAATGCTTTTAATTTAATTGCAAAATTAAATTCGGGGCTTTTAGCTTCTATTTTTGAAACATGGTTAGAACTGTGTAGCGGAAAAAACATATTTTAAATCAATTAATTTATAATATTAATGCTCTGTAAATTTACATTGAGCACTATTTTGTAAAAACAAAAATAACTATAAGAACATCGGATTATATATCTTACTGTTCTTTCTTTTTGTGAAAGTATATAATAAAAAGGCTTAAACCCCAATATTCCATCGTCATAATTTATTCCATTGGAATCGTAAATATGATCCAATTCATCAGACCTACAAATTAAAAAAAAAAAAAAAAACAACTCCGGGAATAAAAAATAAAATTTAGTGAGAGTGTGGGACGAATGTTAGAGTAAATGAAAGTTACAGGGAGGGGTAACAGACGAGAGAAGGACAGGAAGGCCTAAAGCTAGACATCCGGTTGCCTCTAGCCAGGATCGAAACCTGAATGTGGAGCGAATTATGACCATGGAATATTAGTGTTTAAGCCTTTTTATTATATCCTTACTCTGTCCTGGACATTGAGTTCTACCTGGATTCTATCTTCTTGGAAATTTTTTATTCAAAAATATATATGTATGTGTAAGCATGTATGTATATATAATTATATATTTTGCATATGTATGTGTATATTTACCACTAATATTATCTATCTATCTATCTATCTATCTATCTATCTATATATATATATATATATATATATATATATATAATCACTTGATGATTAGTAGGGATAATTACAAGGAGTATATAAAACCAAAGAGAAGTTAATGTAAGAACAGAGCAATATAATAATGAATGCTGAATCCTTAAAAATCCATTCGGCCAGGTGATAATTTATTTCGTGGAAATATCAATATGAGGTTTTTTAGGAGGGAGAGAAAGAGCGATAAACATGGAGAGGGGAAAAGGAAAGAGAGTGAGGGGAGGGGCGAGAAAAAAAGAATTAAGCAAGTCGACAGGGTGACCCAGAAAATTTTTTTTTTTCTTCCAGGACTTGACAAGTTAAACTTAGGGATGCGGGAAGGGAGTGACCATATTCAAAATAGATATATTGAAATTGTCTAGTCATTTTAAGCAGCGGAACCATCATCATCGCTTTATAACCATCAGAAATACAAACTGATGATAACAATAATAATAATATTGGAATATTTGACATCAATAAAAAGAAACAGATTAAATTTTTTTAAAATTATTTAAAAAAAGAAATTAAACTTAACCTCCCAAATTTTGATTAAATTAATAAAGAGATAAGTAAAGAACAATTTAAATAACTAAAAACTTAAAAATGCAAAGACATATATATATATATATATATATATATATATTAAACATATATACATATTATGTATATATTATATATATTATATATAATATATATATATATATATATATATATATATATATGAATATTCACACAAATATACACATATATACATAGATACTCATACACACAACCATACTCAAGTGAATATGCATATCCAAACACACATCCATATCAATATATGTCGATAATAATAATAATAATAATAATAATAATAATTGTTGACATGTTTTTCGATGTAATATCATAAAATAAAAATATTGATCTACTTTGTATTGAGGTCTCTTTTAAATTAAATGTTACGAACAGTGAAATTTTACCTGTACACACACACACACACACACACATATATATATATATATATATATATATATATATATATATATATATATATATATTCATTTTATATAATTTATATTAATCTCTGGTAGAGTTAGAACATCGTGTTCGGATGTTTTGGTATTTGGTTGGTATTTTTACATTTTCTGTTGATTGGTTATTGTTATTTACATCTAATATAAAAGAATCTTGCATTTTAATTTACCAAGTAAAAAATTAAAGTTTAAATTATTTACTTGTGTCTTAAAGAAGCTATTTATTTATCAACTATAAAAATGTTTTGATTTTTACGTAGGAAACTCACAAGGCATATAACTTCTGTAGCATTTTGTTAGGCTACCACTTCATTTTTTCTTAGAAAATGACATTGTCTAATGTGCAATTTGTATCCATTTACATCCCTTCCTATTTAACGTCTGTTGTTGTCATTGATTTCAAATCTACCGGTTATGACCCATTTATAATTTTTTTTTTTTTTTAATTTTTGCTTCTTCCCTTAATTTAAATTTAACGTAGGTCTTATTTGATTGGTTGATCTGGGTGAAGCCCACACAACTTTTAACAACCACGAATTTTTCATTTTATACTTTTTTTCTTAAAAAGTGTCTGTAATTTTGCTTTGAAATCTAAATAAATCGTTCACTCGCTGGTAATTTACAATCGCCTGACGAGATGCATTGATACACATCGAAACACGACTGCAGGTATGTAGCGGTTTTCGATGTAATATCCTAAAATAAAGAATATTGGTCTACATTTTATTGAGCCCTCTTTTAAATAAAATGTTACGAACGTTGGAATTGTATTCTATTCGTTTTCATTTTACCTGAATACACACACACACACACATATCTATAAATATACATATATATATATATAAGTGAACATAGAAGTCAACACTTAGAAGCGACAGTCTGTTTCATGCTAGATGCAGTCGTGAGACCTGACGATTGCATATAGCAAGAAAAAAGACTGTCGCCCTCTATGTTGACTTCTATGTTCACTTTTATATTTACACGCTCTATCTCTGATATTGAGCAATTTATCCCATAAATATAGCACATCTAAAGACTATATTTCTTCATTATATATATATATATATATATATATATATATATATATATATATATATATATATATATATATAAGAATGTTATTATTGAGGGAAATATGAAATATCGCGAGAGAAGAGAAGAAAGTAAAAAAAGAAAGAGAGAGAATAGAAAGAGAAAATGAAAGAAAGAAATATATTTATGAACAGAACGAAAAAAAGAAAGTTACGAACATAAGAAAGAAAGAAAGAAAGAAAGAAAGAAAGAAAGAATAAAGGAAGAGAATAATAAAGGAAGGGAAAGGAATAAATGTAGTTACGAACATAAGAACGAAAGAAAGCAAAAAAGGAATGGAGAGAGATAGAAAAACGAAAGAAAGAGAAGAAAGAGAACAAATTGAGAAGTAGAAGAAAGAAATGGAAGAAAAATAAATATAATTATGAACATAAGAAAGAAAGAAAGAAAGAAAGGGAAAGAAAGAAAGAAAGAGAATAAAGGATGGGAAAGGAATAAATGTAGTTACGAACATAAGAACGAAAGGAAGAAAAACAAAGAAAGAAAGAAAAAGCGAGAAGGGAAGAAATGTTAAGAAGGAAATATAGTTATGAACATAAAAAGTAAAACAAAGTGAGAAAGAGAAGAAATGTTGAGAAAAAGAAATATAGTTATGAACATGAGAACGAAAGAAAGAAAAGAAAAATGAAAGAAAGAGAGAGAAAATAAGAAAAACAGGGAAAAGAAAAGAATGAAAAGAAGAAAGAAAGGGTAAGAAAAAAAAGAAATATAGGTATGAACATAAGAACGAACAAATCAAAGCAAGAAAGAAAGAAAGCAAGAAAGAAAGAAAGAAAGAAAGAAAGAAAGAAAGAAAGAAAGAAAGAAGAAATTGGGATAGATAGATAAAGAAAGAAAGAAAGAAAAAAGAAAGAATATGGACAGAAACCAAATAAAACAGATTTACGTGATAAAAGAAAGAAAAAGAAAGAAACAAGGAAGAAATGAGGCAAAGAAGAAAGAAAGAAAAAAGAAAGAAACAAAGAAGAAATGAGGCAAAGAAGAAAGGAAGAAAAAAGAAAGAAACAAGGAAGAAATGAGGCAACGAAGAAAGAAAGAAAAAAGAAAGAAACAAGGAAGAAATGAGGCAAAGAAGAAAGAAAGAAAAAAGAAAGAAAGGGAACTTATAAGAAAGCAGCAAAGAAAAAGAGAGAAAGAGAAAGAAAAGAAGTGAGACTTATAAGAAAGAAAGAAAGAAAGAAAGAAAGAAAGAAAGAAAGAATGGAAAGCAGTTATAAATAAATAAAGAAAGAAAGAAAGAATCAAGTAGTTACGAACATGAGAAAGGAAGAAAGAGTGATAGAAAGAAATTAAGTACGAAAAGAATGAGAATGTATTAAATGAGTTAAAGAATGGGTTTGGTGAAAGAAAGGGTTATGTGTTGAAAGAAAGAAAGAAAGAAAGAAATAAAGAAAGAGAGAGAGAGAGACAAGAAAAGAAAGAAAGGGAAAGGGAGAAATGTTGTTACGAACATAAGAATGAAAGAAAGAAAAGAAATAAAAAAAAAGGAATGGAGAGAGATAGAGAGAGAAGAGAAGAAAGAAAAAACGAAAGAAAGAGAGCAAAGTGAGAAGTAGAAGAAAGAAATGTAAGAAAAATAAATATAATTATGAACATAAGAAAGAAAGAAAGAAAGAAAGAAAGAAAGAAAGAAAGAAAGAAAATGAGAGAAAGGAAGAAAGACAGGGAAAGGAAAAGAATGAAAAGAAGAAAGAAAGGGTAAGAAAAAAAGAAATGTAGGTATGAACATAAGAACGAACAAATCAAAGCAAGAAAGAAAGAAAGAAAGAAAGAAAGAAAGAAAGAAAGAAAGAAAGAAAATGAGAGAAAAGAAGAAAGACAGGGAAAGGAAAAGAATGAAAAGAAGAAAGAAAGGGTAAGAAAAAAAGAAATATAGAAAAAAAGAACGAACAAATCAAAGCAAGCAAGCAAGAAAGAAAGAAAAAAGTTGTCCGGAAGATAAGGTTGAAAAATAAGGAAAACAATGCCGAATAGCATTGAAAGAAGGAAAGAAAGAAAGAAAGATAGAAGGAAATAAATAAATAAATAAAGAAAGAAAGAAAGAAAGAAAGAAAGAAAGAAGGGTATGTTCAAATCTGCAGAGAGTATGAAGAGAGAAAGAAAGTGGCGCCATTTCTTTGAGATGAACTCCTTTAATGTCATCGCAGGTAATTAGTTATCTGTCAATTAGTTTTATTTAAATATTTTCCAACACATTGTTATCAGGGAAAAAACAGAAGGATAAGAAAAAAAAGCAGAGCTTGATAGTTAATGAGCTTCGCCTACGTCTGTCATAATGGCTGTCGCTCAAGTGCATCTATTGAATATCGAATTGACGTGTGCTGTCTTGTGACAGCTACTTTATGCTAGCCGCATAATGTCGCTTCTACATTTCGCTAAGTCTTCTTCAAAGCTATAAATCAAGGACACATGTTCATGTTATACGGTTGGCAGTAAAAGCTTAAAAGGAACAGGGAGCAGCGGATTTCAGCACTAATAGAATGTGAGATAAGTTTGATAAACATTAGACGTATTAATTAGCGGTACAAGTTCTCTGGCTGTTGCCGTCAGCACCTGCTCGCATCCGAGCATCGGGATCATCATCCTCTCTCTCTATTCCCTTTCTCTCTCCCTATTCTCTTTCTCTCTTCCTATTCTCCTTCTCTCTCCCTATTCGCCCTCTCTCTTCCTATTCCCTTTCTCTCTCCCTATTCTCCTTCTTTCTCTCTATTCCCTTTCTCTCTCCCTATTCTCCTTCTTTCTCTCTATTCCCTTTCTCTCTTCCTATTCCCTTTCTCTCTCTCTCTTCCCTTTCTCTGTCCCTATTCCCATTCTCTCTCCCTATTCCCTTTCTCTCTCCCTATTCCCCTTCTCTCTCCCTATTCGCCTTCTCTCTTCCTATTCTCTTTCTCTCTCCTGGTGGCGGTAGAGGAGTTGGCTGTGAATCAAAGAGAGTTTGACGAGGCCATTCGTCTGAAGTTGATTTTGGTGGACAACACTGTGAGACAGAGAAGCCCACACACTTGACTAGAAGCGCCTCCCCCGCGGCTCGAAGCGGATTGAGACAGACGAGATTTCGTTGCACCGGGCTGTCGGTTGCTAAGTCTGTCAAGGCCCACCATGGTTACGACAACCCGACTGGCGCTGTCCTCTTCTGCTGGTTTGGTCCTTGAGATCGTGTAGATCTTCGCTTATTCCGCCGTTGAGATATACGAGGGTTGGTTCCGTTTAGTCTCGTCCTTCCTCTTCGATCTTACAGCCATGGGTAGCCCTACAGGACTTGGAACTCCAGAAGGCTTCGCTCTTTTGTTCACTAAGACATGCCCTCTACCATGACAAGGAACAAGTACATATAATATTTTACACTGAATGTCGGCAGGAACAGTTCGTTATAAAATGTAACACTTTAACGTATTACTTCAATGACAATAATAGAAACGATTCAATAAGATAATAAAATTAATAAAAGTATAAAATTAATATTACCATAATTCTCAATGAATAATACGCCTTCATCCATAATACGATGACCTAAAATTGTGTTGAAAGTGTCGGAAAATGCTCCTACTCACGCATAATACGCACTCCTTGTTCGGTAACCAAACCTTATAAATTGTACATCTCCAATTTCATTACGGCCAGCGTTTCCTACTCTTATTAAAAAATTGTTTTAAACATAGAATAACATTATTTTAATTTAGTTTTATGATAATTTTTATTTTATTTTACATTTCTAATTATTGTTATGTACATATGATTGTATTTGACAGAGGTCGCAATCGCCGAATGTTAGTGTCAAATTGTCGTATGTTTCTTGTGAGTATTTATTTCGCAACTGAAATCGACCTATGAAACGGCATTTTTTTAAATATTATTTTGTAGCTGTGCATAATACGCACCCCTAATTTTGTTTATTATTTAAAAACGAATGCGAATGATACCCGGGTAATTACGGTAAATCCTTCCCCAGTGTAGTCGTTTATATATATTTTTAACAAAACTCTTTTTCAGACATGGACTAATAAACACGTCCAAAACATAACGTTCAAAACGAGTGACAGACGTGTTTATATATCGATCTTGATTCTTTTTATGCCCTTCTGAGCTTGAAACGAGTTCAATTGTCAACTCATACGTCTGGTCGAGCTGTTAGCCACCGATCGGGTACTCCAAGGTACCTAAGTTTCTTAGTTACTATATTAAAAAACAAATAAAAAAAATTCGTCTGAAAATAAAACGTTTTTTTTTTCCAAAATAATTGGCTGGGAAGGGGTTAAGTATCTTATGTTTTGATATGACTAGCAGAAAAGTCTGCGGAATTGGGTCTTTAGGGCAATGAAGGATGTGTTACAGCAAGGTTAGAATCTCCGGGACGAGGCCTCACTCTAAACTTCTCCATGACTTGTCCGAAGACAGCGTATCTTTAACTGAATCCTCCCGATAGATGGTAAATACCACCCTGAGATACATTGTTCCGCACCTTTTGCACCTGTTAATGCAATACAGTAAGAGTTAAAGGTGGGCTAATTGGTCCTGTCATGTGTCATTCAATATACGAGGACAGGTTTGGCAATCATGATGGCCAGGGAAGTTGTTGAACATCTTGTAGAACATTGAGTAGCATGGGTATGATATGGGGTCAGACTTTATTCTGCTGGCACAGCACTTCACTCTCCTGTTGCAGGAAAGGCAGCAGAATTGGTTGAACAATGTTCTTGACACACATGGCACTATGTTCATTCTACAAGGACACCTCGATGCGGTGTAATGGTTAGCAAGCTTGTCCCGCTATAACAATTACGACTGAATAGTGAGTTCGATCCTCACTGGGTGCCCCATACTTTTGGCCTTGTGCCATATCCAAGCTACGCTTGGAAAATCACTATGTCCATTCTACAAACACCAAAGGCAAACGATAGTTTTAAATTATGGCACTCCAAACAGATATTATTCACTTGAGAAAAAGATGGTAAATGATTTTATCTCAGTTTTAACCCGTTCTCCGGGTGTAGATGTGTATATACGTTTTTAACGAAAGTGTATTTTTCAGACACTGACGAATAATCACGTCCAAAACATAACGTTCAAAACCAACTACAGACGTGTTTATACGTCGATCTTGATTCTTTTTATGTCCTTCTGAGCTTGAAATGAGTCCAATTGTCAACTCATACGTCTGGTTAGCCACCGATCGGGTACTTCAAGATACCTCAGTTTCTTAGTTACTATATTAAAAACAAATAAAAATTCGTTAGAAAAAGAGATGTTGTCCCCAAAATCATTGTCGGGGAAGAGGTTTAATATATCTGAACATTTGTTTTATTATTGTTGTTGCTAAAAATAAATATTTGAAAGATAAATAACAAAGAAATTCACTGCTGAATAATCAAGCATGGTCTCCCCTTGTTATGTTACACTCCTCCTTGAGAGAGCTATTTCTGTTTACTGGGACTATAAAAGGACAATATACGCGAACCTTGTATTCTCAGTTGAATACAATTTTTTTTTACTTTTGTCATTACAATTATATACGAATCAGATATTAATAATTACGTTTTAAACTGCCTTACCCATTAAAAAATTTCGATGAACATAAATATTAGTAAAAATATAATAATAATGGTTGGTAATGATACATGGATATGAGGGGAAATACTTGTAAAATATTCATCATTGTTTTTATCAGATTCAATAAAAAAAAACAAGAAAATAAAAGTTAACATTTAATAAGTTGTTTTCAAAACGCTTCATCAAAGAACATTTATGACAACTAATTAACAAACAATTAATTAATAATAGATGACATTCACAGTGCAAACGGAGTCAAGATTATCAAATCATTGTGAACGCCATGATCTCACCAATCTATATATAGGTACAACTGTTATGAATAATCAAGAGTGCTCTCCCCTTGTTTTGTTACTCTCCTTTTTGAGAGAGCTATTTCTGTTTACTGGGACTATAAAAGGACACTCTACGCGAACCTTGTATTCTCAGTTGAATAAAGCTTTCTTAAAGCCTATACCGGTGTACTATTGTCACGGCAAACCGTGGTTAAAATCATCGGGTAAAACGTACGCAAGTAATCACAGCAGCTTGTGGTTAAAGCCCGGTAATCTCGGCTCAATCTTCAGATTTATTTTGTTCGTTATTGTCGCTATGACATTCATTCTTAACAGAGACATTGTAATTGTTTTCTCTTTGCTTTTCCCCTGTTAGAGTTACGCCATTAGAATGGTTGCCCGCCAGTTGCATCCATCTCATCTATCTCCCAGATTTGGATAAAATAGTAGGGCAGCCTTGGTTGTTAACCAGTCTAGGATAAGGAAAACTCTGAATTCAAACCATCCTGGAGAGGGATGGGTTCCGTCAGGTTATCTTGCCCCAGACACACTACTGCTACTTACGGCTATAGTACACGTGGTATCCCTCCGAGTTACGGGACTTGTCATCGTGACAGATGGAACACCTTCAATTCAATGCATAAATGTGACAAAAGCAAACACTGTTTTAAAAGAACGATCACAGGCGTTGAAAAATGGATAGTTTTCAGCAATGTAGTTCGGAAGGATTTCTGCTGAAGACGAATATAATCCTCAAGATGGACTATGAGTCTTCACATCATACTCCTCAGGGCTTCCACGGGAACAGGATTTCAGATCTGCGGCCACATACTCCTTAGGAAGTCCAGGAAATTTGAGACATGTGGTACATACTCCTAATGAAATCTAGTGATAATGGTTTCATACTTCAGAAGAAGTCTAAGGGGAGTTGAGAGCTGTGACCCGGATCTCCTCAAGTCGTCTACGGAATTTGAGAACAATGGCCCCATACTCCTCAGTAGAGGCTACAGGAGTTGAGAGATGTGGTCCCAGACTCCCCAAGCTGTCTACGAGACATTAGAAATATGACACATACTCTTCAGGAAGTATACAGGACCTGAGAGTGTGGCCACATACTCCTCAGAGAATCTACAGGACTTGAAAGTTGTGGCTCCATACTCCACAGGGAGTTCAGGCGGGGTTGACAGGTCTGACCCCGTGTTCCTCAGATGGTCTACGGGACTTGAGAGCTGAGATCCCATACGTCTCAGATTCACTGTTAACCGATTCGAATGCCGGTTTACATTCAAAGAAAGTGATGCTGATAGCTGGTGGGATTGAAAACGCATTCCACCAAAATTTGATGCTGGATTCAGGGAGGTATTGTTGCTAAATGAAAGACGGCAATCGATGAAAAACGTCCGTGATTGGCTTATCGGAAGTGTGTCATCAGACCTCGTGTATTTTTACACACCCTGCTGGAATTGGTAGAAAGCATTTACCTTCTTGACAAATCAACTAAGTTAATAAGCTCCGAACACGATGGAGCAGTCCAGATTAGACCTTTCTAGTCTATACCGAACCTAGTTTGCCTAGCCATGTCCAGAACAAGAGCTAATGTATCACTTGGGTTTCAGGCAGCACAACTTAGTCTAAAGTATATCCACGAAGCAGAATTAGATTGTTTATTAACCATTTCGCCCCAAGAAAGGCAATAATGCTATTCGGACACAAGAGGTTACTTTCTTTCGTTCGTTCTTTCTTTCTTTTTTCCGTTCTTTCTTTATGTCTATCTTTCTTACTTTCTATCTTTCTTTCTGTGTGTCTTTCTTTCCATTTGTCTTTATTTTTTATTTTTATTTTTATTTTTTGTATTTATGTATTTCTTTCCTTCTTTGTTTGTTTGTTTTTTCTTTCTTTCTTTCTTTCTTTCTTTCTTTCTTTTCTTTTCTTTTTATTCTCTTTTCTTATAGTTTTCTCTTTTTTCTTTCATTCTTGCCTGCCAATTTCTTTCTTTCTTTCTTTTCTTTTTTCTTTTCTTTCTTTCTTTCTTTCTTTTTTCTTTCTCCATCTAATCCACTCACATGTTGTCCATGTCTTACGTTCTTTCTTTCTTTCTTTTTTTATTCTTTTCTTATAGTTTTCTTTTTTCTTTTCATTCTTGCCTGACAATTTCTTTCTTTTTTTCTTTCTGTTGTAAGACCGTAACATACCTACAACATGGACTCTTCCAGGACTATATAAAGTATGCGATATAATACTCTAAGAGAAGAGGAGGAAAGAGAGAGAGAGAGAGAGAGAGTATTCTAATACCGTAGTATCAGCCGCGTACGACTACCAATATTGGACACTAGCACATAGTAAGCTCCGCTTACACTTACACTATCTTTGTAACCTTTTTGTTTAATATATCTTTCCTACCTCTAATCCGTGTTCCGTGTTTTCCTTCCGTGATCCCAACTTTGAGCCCACATCACATACCATATTGCTTTCTTTCTTTGATTGTTTATTAAAGTCTCTTATCTTGTTCCTTCTTCCTTGTCTTTCATTTTCTTCCTTCGTTTCCATTTTTCTTTCTTTCCTTCTTTCTTTTCATTTTCGTTTATTTCTCTTTCTCTACCTCATTCACTTTCTTTCTTTCACCCTTTCTTTTTTCTTTCTTTCACCCTTTCTTTCTTTCTTTCTTTCTTTGTCTGTTCCTTCCATTGTTTTCTTTCTTTCTTTCTTTCTTTTTTTTTTTGCTGTTCCTTCCATTTTTCTTCTTTCTCACTTTCTTCCTTACTAACCTTTCTCTTTCTTTCTTTCTTTTTTTCTCCCTTTGTCTGTTTTTCCATTGTTTTCTTTCTTTCTTTTTTCTTTCTTTCTTTCTTTCTTTCTTTCTTTCTTTTAATTTTCATTTATTTCTCTTTCTCTACCTCATCCACTTTCTTTCTTTCACCCTTTCTTTTTTCTTTCTTTCTTTCTTTCTTTTGATTTTCATTTATTTCTCTTTCTCTACCTCATCCACTTTCTTTCTTTCACCCTTTCTTTTTTCTTTCTTTCCTTCTTTCTTTTGATTTTCATTTATTTCTCTTTCTCAACCTCATCCACTTTCTTTCTTTCACCCTTTCTTTTTTCTTTCTTTCTTTGTCTGTTCCTTCCATTGTTTTCTTTCTTTCTTTCTTTCTTTTTTTTTTTTGCTGTTCCTTCCATTTTTCTTCTTTCTCACTTTATTCCTTACTAAGCTTTCTCTTTCTTTCTTTCTTTTTTCTCCCTTTGTCTGTTTTTCCATTGTTTTCTTTCTTTCTTTCTTTCTTTCTTTTCTTTCTTTCTTTCTTTCTTTCTTGCGTTTTTCTGTATGTCTTTCTGTCTTTCACTCTTTCTTTCTTTTTTTATATGCTTGTCTTTCTTTCTTTCGTCATTTCTTCCTTTGTTTCTTTCTATTTTTGTGGATGTCTTTCTTTCATTATTTCTTTCTTTCTTTCTTTCTTTCTTTTGTTGTCTGTATCTTCTTTCTTTCGCTCTTTTTTCACTCTTTTTTTCTGTATCTCTTTCTTTCTTTTCTTTCTTTGTTTTTCCGCTCTTTCTTTCTTCCTTTTTTCCTCTCTTTTTATTCCTTGTGTCTTTTTTCTTTCTTTTCTCTATGTCTTTCTTTCTTTCACACTTTCTTTTTTTTTCTGTATGCTTTTCTTTCTTTCTTTCGCACTTACTTTCTCGCTTTCTTTATTCCATTCCGGGATTCCTGACTCTGGTCGTGAACCGTAACTTCTATCCTAATAGTGTCTTCCCTCGCATTTCCTTCCTGTGGAAGTCTCTTCTTCTTTTTCTTTTTTTATTACCCTGCCACCTACGACCTTCAGAAATTTAAATTCATCGTCATCTTCTGTTTTCCCGAACACTGTTCTTTTATGGCCCTCTCTAAAACTTCCTCTGTCTCTTTCACTCCCAGTAAACCCCACCTGCGTCTTAGTGGCATTATCGCCTTGCTTGGTGATGAAATAATTAGAAAAAAATATATGAGCTCACTCTAGTTTAATAAGTCAGTCCTAATATGACACACGTGATGTGCTAACATTTACACAGCCCAGAGAAATAGTGTGGGGTAAATAGAGAAGAAAACGAAACGAAAATAAAACAGAAAATGGTTTCTCATAGAAAACAAAACTGAACAGGAGCGATAAAGTGACGAATGGTGCATTGAAATGTCTACAAAAAAAAGCAGATAACATTTGCAGTCGACAGAGAGAAACGCCTACGCAATCAAGCAGGTTCTTCTGTCGTCCTTCCACAAAGATGTTGTCAGTAGGTGGATTTAAGGAGAGGGGCCCTGTGTTTAATAAAACTACAATGCTTGTTGACGCCGGCAGCAAGCGCTCATTTGGACAGGCATTGAGAGAACATCTGAAAAGCGAGATTATCCTTTCTAGCAAGATCTCGGATAAATGCGTTCGCAGAAGCTATTGGAAGAGCGACGATTTAATTGCTATTCAAACAGACGCTATTGAATCCTAATATCTAAAGAAAAAAAAATGTCCGCCACACGCCGATGCCTGTTACTTCGTTTTAACCACCCGAAGATTTGATTCAACTATTGCCTACTCTCTAATATGACACTTATTTCTTTTTTCCTTACGATCTTTCTTTCTTTCTTTTTTTTCCTTCTTTCTTTCTTTCCTTCTTTCTTTCTTTCTTTTTTCCTTCTTTCTTTCTTTCTTTTTCCCTTCTTTCTTTCTTTTTTCCATTCTTTCTTTCTTTCTTTCTTTCTTTCTTTCTTTCTTTTTTTCCTTCATTCATTCTCCCTTTCTTTTTCCTTTCTTTGAGTCCTTATTATTTCTTTTTTTTTCTTTCTTTTTTTTTTCCTTTCTTTCTTTTCTTTTTCCTTCTTTCTTTCTTTTTTCTTTCTTTCTTTTTTTTTTCTTTCTTTCTTTTTTTTTTTTTCTTTCTTTCTTTCTTTCTTTTTCCTTCTTTCTTTCTTTCTTTCTTTTTCCTTCTTTCTTTCTTTTTTTCCATTCCTTTCTTTCTTTCTTTTTTCCTTTTCATTTCTTTTTTCTTTTTTCTTTGAGTCCTTTTTTCTTTTTCTTTTATTTCTTTTTTCTTTTCTTTCTTTTTTCTTTCTTTCTTTCTTTCTTTCTTTCGTTCTGTCTTTAATTTCTTATTTCTTTCTTTCGGCTTTTGTTTCGTTCTTCCTTTAAGGGCTTATTAACTCCTTTTCTGTTTCTTTCTTTTATTATCCTTTGTTTGTTTGTTTCTTTCTTTCTTTCTTTAATTTCTTATTTTTTCTTTCTTTCTTCCTTTCTTATTTCTTTCTTCCTGCCTTTCTTTCTTTCTTTCTTTCGTTCGTTCCCCCTTTAAGATTTTATTACATTCTTTCTTTCGCTCTTTCTTTCTTTCGTTTTCTTTCTTTCTTTCTTTCTTTCTTTCTTTCTTTCTTTCTTTCTTTCTTTCGTTCCCCCCTTTAAGTCTTTATTACGTTCTTTTTTCTTTCTTTCTTTCTTTCTTTCTTTCTTTCATCTTCCCTGCTTTATTTAATTCCTTCTTTCTTTCTTTCTTTATTTCTTTCTTTCTTTCTTTCTTTATTTATTTATTTCAGCCCTATCTTCTTTAGGCCCTTTTTTTCTCTCTGTTTACGTTTTTCTTTCTTTGCTCTTCCTTTTTCGAGTTTTTTTTTTAAATCTTTATTTCGTTTTTTCTTTTTTTTTTCCTTCGCAGTTTTTTCGTTCTTTCGCTTTTTCTTTAAGTTTATCTTTCATTCATTCATTCATTCATTCTGTACGTTCTTATTTCTTTCTTTCTTTCGGCCTTTGTTTCGTTCTTCCTTTAAGTCCTTATTACCTTCTTTCTGCTTCTTTCTTTTATTATCCTGTGTCTTTCTTTCTTTCTTTCTTTCTTTCTTTCTTTCTTTTCTGTCTCACTCATTTCTTTTTTTCTTCTCGTAAGCCGCATTTCCTCTTTCTTTCTTTCTTTCTTTCTTTTTCTTTTCTTTCCTTTTTCTTTTTATTTCTCGTATTTCTTTCTTTCTTTCTTTCTTTCTTTCTCTCTTTCTTTCTTTCTTTTCTGTCTCACTCATTTCTTTTTTTCTTCTCGTAAGCCGCATTTCCTCTTTCTTTTTTCTTTCTTTTCTTTCTTTTCTTTTCTTTCTTTCTTTTTTTTTTTTTCTTTTTCTTTTCTTTCTTTCTTTCTTTCTTTTCTGTCTCACTCATTTCTTTTTTTCTTCTCGTAAGCCGCATTTCCTCTTTCTTTCTTTCTTTCTTTCTTTCTTTCTTTTCTGTCTTACTCATTTCTTTTTTTCTTCTCGTAAGCCGCATTTCCTCTTTCTTTCTTTCTTTCTTTTTTCTGTCTCCTCATTTTTTTTTTTCTTTTCCTTTTTCTTTTCTTTCTTTCTTTCTTTCTTTCTTTCTTTCTTTTCTGTCTCTTTTCTTTTTTTTTTCTCGTTTCATTTCTTTTTTTTCTTTCTTTCTTTCTTTCTTTCTTTCTCTCTTTCTTTCTTTCTTTTCTGTCTCACTCATTTCTTTTTTTCTTCTCGTAAGCCGCATTTCCTCTTTCTTTCTTTCTTTCTTTCTTTCTTTCTTTCTTTCTTTCTTTCTTTCTTTCTTTCTTTCCCGGACACGCTCATTATCACTCATTCATTTATTACATGTTCGTCCTTCTCTTATACAAAATTTCATTTCACACCTTTCTCTCTCTCTCATTCATTTTGTCTTTTCTTCTTTTCTCTTTCATATGAAATCTAATCAGGCTTTTGATGCAATTTCTTTCGTCTTGTTTTCATTCATTCTTAACACACGCATAACTCCTTCATCTTTCTTTCTTTCATTTGATTCTTTATTTCAGTTTTCTTATCCGTATGTTTATGTTTCATTTCATTTTTCTTCTTTATTTCTTTATTTATTTATTTATTTATTTATTTTTTAGACTTCATATCACATTTCTTATTTCACTTTTCTTCTTTCTTTCTTTTTATGCTTTATTTCACTTTCCTTCTTTCTTTCTTGTTTTTTTATGCTTTATTTCACTTTCCTTCTTTTTTTTCTTTTTATGCTTTATTTAACTTTCCTTCTTTCTTTCTTTCTTTCATTCCTTATTTCTTTTTTAGACTTTGTATCACATTTCTTATTTCAATTTCTATCTTTCTTTCTTTCTTTCTTTCTTTCTTTCATTCCTTCAATCATACTTTCTTTCTGTTATGCATCAGTGAACTTTTCTTCTTTCTTTTTTATGCTTCATTTCACATTACATTTTTCTTTCGCTCATTTTCTTTCATTCCTTCGTTCAATCTTTCTTTTCTACTTTTCTTCTTTATTTCTTTCTGTTAAAGGGCATTTCCTGTTTCTCTTTTCTTTCTATCTTTCTTTCTTTCTCTTTATTCTTTATTTCACTTTTCTTCTTTCTTTCTTTTTATGCTTTATTTCGCTTTTCTTCTTTCTTTCTTTCTTTTTATGCTATATTTCTCTTTTCTTCTTTCTTTCTTTCTTTCATTTTATGCTATATTTCATTTTTCTTCTTTCTTTCTTTCTTTTTATGCTATATTTCATTTTTCTTCTTTCTTTCTTTCTTTCTTTCTTTTTATGCTATATTTCATTTTTCTTCTTTCTTTCTTTCTTTCTTTCTTTTTATGCTATATTTCATTTTTCTTCTTTCTTTCTTTATTTTTATGCTTTATTTCACTTTTCTTCTTTCTGCTTTTCTTCTTTCTTTCTTTACTTCAGTTATAACGCATTTCCTGTTTCTCTTTCTCTTTTCTTTCTTTTTTCTATCTTTCTTTATTCTGCTTTCTTTCACTTTTCTTCTTTCTTTCTTTCTTATTTTTTCTCCACCTTTACTTTCTCTTTGTTTCTTCTGTTCCCTTTCCTATCGCCCTACACTCCACCCCAATCACTTCGCAAGTCACCACACACCACCGTCACCATTAAACAAAGACAACACCTACCTATTCTTCCGTAACCGCGTCCTCGCGCTCGGATCCCCGAGAAAAAGGACCGTTGTGCACAAGGACGGCATTTTATCGAGTGTAATTGCTTGGTCATGTGACGTTCACGCTCGCGAGATTCTCGTTCGACGTAATTCGATATGGAAGCGAAAGGCGAGTGATTTAATATGGCGGAAGAAGAAACTGAAAGAATGTGTTTGAAGCATGCGCACACGTACGAGGGTGAAGGCACGCACCCGGAAATTATCAGGGGTTCCTCCCCGCTATCTGCAGCTTCCTCTTTTCATTCCTTCTGCTTCCTTACTTCTCTATCCTTTCAACCCCTACAAAAATGTTTCCTTAATATAATATCAGCCAGAATATTGAATATATCAGAGTCGAAATAGAAATAATAAAATTATAGTTTTAAAGACGTTGTGATTTTAGATGTGCAGGAAGTAATTTCGGGCTATTGTTAAATTCAAATAATGAGGAAAGGAAGCGGAGAGTCCTAAATAACAGACAGCTTTATGCCTTTAAATATGTCTATTATGCCCTTCCATAAATAACGGCTGTTAACTTTATCGATAACGTTTTACGCTGAACACTTGAAATTAAGTTTGCCCATTATAGCTTTCCATAAATAAATAAAATCAATTCAAATATGTGCATAATGTTCTTTCGCAAATTAATGCTATTAAGTTATGTCCATTACGTCCCTCCATATTCAGTAGGGATGGGGGATATGCAAAATGGAGTCGATAGAGATTGTTTATCACGAAGAGAGAAACGCACTTATACAAATAAAACTATGTTCCAATCCATCTAACACATCTAACCGTGTGAATGATCAGTACAATGCTTGGAAACCGTTTTTTCTTTTCTTTTTTTTAGAGGGGGGGGTCAGCTATCAAGGAATTGTTTATTAATTCCATAAATGGATAATTGACTTGGGATGGAATGAATGAAGAATGGAAGAATATGCAATTATAGGGAAAGAATAAATCGTCCTAAAAACAAATCAAGAACACTTGGAAAAAATAATATGGCTGAATACGTCCACCGCAGGGTGAGTTGGCTCCCTGTGCCGCGCCAGGAAGTTTTTTCTCCCTGGAGTCGATCCTCCAGATCTACAAATCCACGATTCGCCCTTGCATGGGATGTTGCTGCCATGTATGGTCTTGGGCCCCCGCTGTTTGTCTCGGGGTTCTTGATAAGATCCAGAGGCGGATATGCAATATAATTGGCCCTGTTCTGGCATCTTGTCTACAGTCACTTTCTCACAGACGCGCCGTCGCTTCTCTCTGTCTTTTTTACAAATACTTTCATGACAATTGCTCCGAGGAGCTGCATTCGCTGGTTCCCAGACTTCATGAGTTCAAGCGCCCTACGAGGCTGGCATCCCGCTCTCACCCTTTCACTGTCGAAACTCCTCAATGTAGCCGTCTCTTCTACTCCAATAGATTCATGTCTCGCGGAACTCCCTTTCCTATTCCAGTTTCCCTGATAGCTATAATCTCCAACTATTTAAATGTAATGTCAATCGACATCTCCAGTTGCCTTGATCTATCCACTATCCTTCTCCTCATCCTTTCCTCTATCACTCCTATCTGATCTTGCTCCATCATAACCCCTTGCGTCCTAGTGGCTTCTCGCCTTGCTTGGGGTGAAACGCTTAAAAAAAAACGTATAGAACATATACAAGAATCCCACCCCGATTAATCACTATATCTCAGTCTGTCGTAAAATAGTCCGTTTTTGATTATTAAATTTATTCTTCAAAAAATTATAAACCAAGCATTCGTCGATTAATGTGCTAAATTTTTTATATACCAAAATTCGATTAGTGCATCCATAATACTCAATTAGTGCGTTAAAACATTCTCCAGTTTAAGCATAGTACAGGAATGCCTCGATTAGTGCGGCTAATGCATATATTTAAAGGTACACGCTAATAGAAAACGTATTAATCGAATATAATAATTTATAGGAAATTATGTAATTTGTAGCTTACATTTTATTCCCATTTACAATTAATTTCTAACTTGCGTACTTTTTAATTAAAATATAGGTACATATAAGAAGATACAATAAAAATGCTATGAATCAATGATTATTAATCTGATCTTTTATGAAAAACTTGAGTGGTTTGCCATATTGTATTCTTTTTCATATAATTGGCGGTACCGAGAAATAGCACCTTCAGATTTACCAAATATATAATCATTAGAATTTTCACCTGAAAATTGTATTCATAATTTTTACATGATAAGTATATAAATCCTTTATATTTCGATATTTTTTAATAGATCTAAATTTCTGTGTCTAATTACATCGTTCTTTTCTTTTTAACAAAAATCAGAAATTTTCTTTTAAGACCTTCAAAACAAACATGAAATAATCAATAGATTCAAAAACTTTTAATAGAGACAAATATCCAAATATGTATTTTTATTGTCGGCTTATTTATTTGCGATGTCGACGAATAGTCGTTATCACTTTCGTAATGCTCGTTGTAGTAGAGACTTTGTAATCGCAGATACAACTATAGTAAAGCCGTTGAAAAAAAAACAGGTATCAGACGCGTTCGAATATCACGCGTACTAATAGTACTTGCTCGATAATACTCGCTCGAATAGTAATCCGTATAGTGAGCCCCATAGAGAAATAGTATAGAGAATAGACTAGAAAATAGCTGTCCGTATAGTAATAGAGGATAGACTAGAAATATAGATCCGTATAGTATAGACGATAGACTAGAAATATAGATCCGTATAGTATAGACGATAGACTAGAAATATAGATCCGTATAGTATAGACGATAGACTAGAAATATAGATCCGTATAGTATAGAGGATAGACTAGAAATATAGATCCGTATAGTATAGAGGATAGACTAGAAATGTAGATCCTTATAGTATAGAGGATAGACTAGAAATACAGATCCCTATAGTATAGAGGATAGATTAGAAATACAAATCCGTATAGTATAGACGATAGACTAGAAATATAGATCCGTATAGTATAGACGATAGACTAGAAATATAGATCCGTATAGTATAGACGATAGACTAGAAATATAGATCCGTATAGTATAGAGGATAGACTAGAAATATAGATCCGTATAGTATAGACGATAGACTAGAAATACAAATCCGTATAGTATAGACGATAGACTAGAAATATAGATCCGTATAGTATAGACGATAGACTAGAAATATAGATCCGTATAGTATAGAGGATAGACTAGAAATATAGATCCGTATAGTATAGAGGATAGACTAGAAATGTAGATCCTTATAGTATAGAGGATAGACTAGAAATACAGATCCTTATAGTATAGAGGATAGACTAGAAATATAGATCCGTATAGTATAGAGGATAGACTAGAAATATAGATCTTTATAGTATAGAGGATAGACTAGAAATATAGATCCGTATAGTATAGAGGATAGACTAGAAATATAGATCCTTATAGTATAGAGGATAGACTAGAAATACAGATCCTTATAGTATAGAGGATAGACTAGAAATATAGATCCGTATAGTATAGAGGATAGACTAGAAATATAGATCCGTATAGTATAGAGGATAGACTAGAAATATAGATCCGTATAGTATAGAGGATAGACTAGAAATATAGATCCTTATAGTATAGAGGATAGACTAGAAATACAGATCCTTATAGTATAGAGGATAGACTAGAAATATAGATCCGTATAGTATAGAGGATAGACTAGAAATACAGATCCTTATAGTATAGAAGATAAACTAGAAATATAGATCCGTATAATATAGAGGATAAACTAGAAATATACATCCGTATAGTATAGAGGATAGACTAGAAATACAGATCCGTATAGTATAGAGGATAGACTAGAAATATAGATCCTTATAGTATAGAGGATAGACCAGAAAAATTAATCCATTAGACGTCACGCGACTTCCTACTTATGCGTTTCCTCTATGGTCACTTGATCCACTCAACTCAATAATGGGATCGCCTGTGTTTGCTCACTGGCGATCTATGTTCAAACTCAAGTGTCGTCAGAGATAATTTATTCCTGTATAACACTTGTATTATAAAATTTATCTATATCTAACCGTACATTTTTTAACACCACTGTAATTATTTAATTAACGTAATACTTGACAAAGAAAATACTAACCCATTTTCCGTTTTTAAATCTTAGAAAATTTTTAATTAATCGGTAAAAAAAAAGGTTTCAATTAGCATTATTAAATTGAACAATGTTTTAGCGCACTTATCGAGTATTACGTAAACACTAATCGAATTTTGAGATATAAAAATTTTAGCTCCCTAATCGAAAACGCATTAGTCGAAAGCGCATTAATCGAGCGATTCCTATAGTGAATTTATATAGAGAGAGAATATGGAATTTTGAATTTATTTAATACGTTTACTGCTCAGTATGGCCGATACAAGAGTCCCGTGCTTTCCATACGAGGCACCACTCTACAACATACAGTAGCATTCATATAAAATATGGATTTTTATTGTAACCTAATTATGTACAATAATGGATCGTATGCAATATAGGCGAATAATTCAACTAGAAAAAATAGAAAATAAATGCAATCTAAATACAAATTAGAGACATATAATATGTTTGGTTTCATTTTGAGAAAAAAACACACTTCTGATTTTAGTAGAACCTATATTTTACAGTTTTTATTTATGACGCCTCCCACGTTCTCTGATACCCCCCCCCACACACACTCTACAACGCCCTGGGTATGACGATAAACTACATCCGTGTCCTGGGTAAGACGAGAAACTACGTCCAGCAACAAAGCCTCTGATCAGGAGGTTTTGTGGAGCATGGAACCACCTCTTCATTGCTGATGTTCCAGGGTGGTAGCACCTGTTAGCGTCCCAGCTATGGGCAAAGAGTTAACCCTGAAACTGGGGTAAAAACACTATGAAAGTGTAAATACAGGTTTTAATACCAGAAATACTTTGTAAAAAAAGAAAAAATATTTCCAGAAATAAATTTTGGAAGAAAAAAAAAACTGTTATTAACAATGTTTTTAAAAAATAAATATTACTAGCAATACATTTTTGAGAAAAATATTACCAGGATTAAAAATGTTGTCGGCATTAAATAACCCATCGAGGATTACATGATGTAAGACAAACCATACCCCCATTCTACAATATCTCAATTTCCATAAGGTAGTATTCATATAAATTCAGATATCTAAAATGATGGATCCAATGCAATATAGGTGAACAATTCAACTAGAAGAATGGGAAATAACTACAATCTAACTATAAATTATATTCATTTGTGTTATGCGCGATACACGCTTAGGCGACAATGTATCTTTAGATACATGTCTAACGTGGCAGATTTTTTTCCCCGCAGTACGTTGCCATTTCTTTCGATGGTAGACTAGTTGCCTTCCAAGTTTATCGAATCCAGTCTGTCCTGATATTTACCCAAAACTAGGGGAAGACGAAGAGGATTCATACCTTTCCCAAGGGTATTATCACGGAAGTGAATGCAATGGATTTGACTGGAAAATAGAAAATAAATGCAGTATATCTAAATATAAATTACAGACATATCAATATATTTGGTTTCATTTTGAGAAAAAAAAAACCACTTCTGATTTTAGTAGAACCTACATTTTACAGTTTTTTTTATTTATGATGCCACCCACTCTCCACCTCTCTTGGTATGACGATGAACTACAACCGCGTCCTGGGTAAGACGATAAACTACGTCCAGCAGCAAAGTCTCTGATCAGGTGGTTTTGGGGAGCGTGGAACCACCTTCTAAATTGCTGGTGTTCCAAGTTTATCGAATCCAGTCTGTCATGCTATTTACCCAAGAAGAAGAAGAGGAGGATTCATAGCTTTCCCAAGGTTATTAGCACGGAAGTGAATATAATGGCTTTGACTGGAATTCGAACTCCGATTCCTCAATCCAAGCACTCTATCCATTACACCACTGCATGCCATAATATATCTTTCCATCTTAAATAAATCACGAATGTTTTATGGCGATTTACAACATTAACTTGAGATGTTCTTTGTTAAAAGTTGAATAATTTTGATACATTCAATATTATGGATAAAAAATAATGACTTTTATGTAATGTTGTTTTTTTTTTGTTTTTTTTTTTTCAAAACTTACCATGAGCAAAACAAACTCACAGAGACAAAAAAATAGACCCCAGAATGACGTCAAAATCTGCGAAATTTTTTCATCCTGTCATAGTTAAAGCTTAGTTTAATTTGTAGCGTGTATAGATGTAGGTATCAAAAAGATAAATGTTGATAAGATAACTATGGTCACGAAGTGCTGTACGCATCGCCCATGCTGCTCAGTTTTCCAAAGTATTTTACAAGCATTTAGTAATCGGAAACATTACAAACAATGCCAAAGTGATATGTTATTTGAAGTTGGTTGAAGCAAAGCCATTGCACGCATAGTTTACCTGAATTAGCATCCAAGAACTTCTTATTTAATGTCTTCTCATTTAGCGACTTCTCATTTAGCGACTTCTCATTTAACGACTTCTCGTTTAGCGACCAGGTTTTTGGAAGAGAACTATGTGAGGTAACTGCTTTATGTGGAAAATAATAGAAAGATTTTAAGAGAAGCAGATTAAAATAAAGAAGGTGACAATATATGAAGAATGGATTAATCGGTATTTGCTGGCTCACAGAGGACAACTTCAGACGTCAGGAAGATTGTGTAACTGATATTTCAATTGCTGTGCTGTCTACACACACACACATATATATATATACAATGGGTAGCAAAAGTATTTAACACATTGGTTTTTCTTACATATCTCAAAAAATAACAGATCAATTTCAACGAAATTTATAGCAAATATTTAAACGAACATTGTCGATCAAAACATAGAAAGAAAATTTAAGACCACTGTTTTGAGAAACACTTATTAACAATAACATTTCACATTTAAACGGTTAACAGAAGTGATATATTGAAATGGGAGGGGAGAAGACAGAAAAAGAAAAAGAACAAAGAAAGAAGGGGGGAGGTAAAGAGAGAGAAGCTGTAATTATGTTTTACGCAGGAAGAAGTGGGGTAGTATATTTTTATGTAAAAAATAGATTTTAATGTTTGATAGTAATTTAAATGTTCTACCCATACGGATTACCAAGTTTTTCATAACTTAACTATATATATATATATATATATATATGTGTGTGTGTGTGTGTGTGTGTGTGTGTGTGTGAGAGAGAGAGAGAGAGAGAGAGAGAGAGAGAGAAGACGAATAAACTACCAAGTATGAACATAGATCTGGAAAATTAAAATATAAAATATATATACAGGGTGCGATGGATAAATTGTCATCGAAATTACAAACAAAGGAAAATAACATTGAGATCTCATTTTTAACATGTATATTTATTTAAATAAGAATATCTTGAAATACTAAAGAGTAAATTTATTCAATAAAATCGCCATTGGCTTTAACTACGGCCTCCAGACGACTAGTCTGGACGGTCTCCTTGTTTAAGTTGGTGAATGCTCCCATAATCCTTGCCTTCAGATTATCTTTGAAGGGAGTTGCGTTAGTCTCGCGTACAACTGCGCCCCACACATAATAATCAAGTGGGGGGGGATATAGTCTGGAAAGTTAGATAGTCAAATTTAAGTGGTGACGTGGTCGCAGAAATTGTCTGACAGCCATGACTGCATTCTCCTTCTTGTGTGGTATGGTCCAGAATCCTATTGCTAGATATAGGGTCTACCAGCAGTTACCCTCTTGACCCAGAGCAGCACTACCTCCTCGAAGAACTTGATGCAGGTCTCTGTGTTATGTTTTACGCAGGAAGAAGTGGGGTAGTATATTTTTATGTAAAAAATATATTTTAATGTTTGATAGTAATTTAAATGTTCTACCCATACGGATAACCAAGTTTTTCATAACTTAACTATATATATATATATATATATATATATATATATATATATATGGTCGGAAGAAGTATGGAGACATAACGTCACTATCACTAGTGATCTCTCCATATATCATCTAGCTCTTTCCACATCTTCTGCATCAGATTGATGCCCAAATTCTCTTAAATGTTTGTAGTGGAGCTTCAGGCATGAATGCCAAGCAGCACAGCATGCCGTCTCCCAATTTCTGGCGGAGAGCAATGCGTCATAGTTCGCTTTTTCCCACGGACTGTGCCCTACTGAACCTACTATACTGTTCCATTTACTGTTATACTAGAACATACCTATTCTATTGTAATAGACTCTTCCACGTATAATAATTAGTAGTAGTAACAGTCGCCAGGGAGCTCAGTGGAGTTGGCGAGTCAGTCGATGTCGGACATTAAAGTATCAACCACCACAACTAGATTGCTGCGTCATTAACTATTATTTTCAAGTTCCTAACGTTTTGTACGTCGAACCAAATTTAGGACCGACTTAGTGAAATACAATCCTCCACTGTGAAAACTACTCTACAACACATTGGCGACGAGGGATTTGTAACTCATACGGAGGAAGAAAAAATTTTCGTTCACTCTATAACAACTTTGGCGACCAGGATTCGAAAAAATTCGTTTCGCCATATACAACACTTCGCGACGAACGTATTTTGGATTCATACGGAAAATAAAAAAAAACTTTTCGTTCACTCTACAACACTTACAAAATCAAAAACAAACAAGGCGTATACGAAAAATTAAAAATATGAAAATGCGATAATTTACCCATACCACCCTCTCTCTCTCTCTCTCTCTCTCTCTCTCTATATATATATATATATATATATATATATATATATATATATATATATATATATATATATATATAGTCTGTATGTCTGTGGATGACAATATATATGCTCCTGAAAAATTTATTTCGGTTGAGTTCTCTGGGGAGGAAGTGTGGGTTTGTAAACAGTGACTATTACGGTTAATAATGGAAGACTCTTCGGTAAATCGAATCGAGTTCTCTCAGTCACTGTGTGTTTATCTAAAAATAAATATGCTTAAATTCACCTTCATTCCTGCTGTGAGTCAACAGCTTAGTTGTAGAATCTGACGCCAATTCAGTCGGGTTTCGATGCTAGCCAGAGACAACCGGATGTTTCGTCACACTGATAAGCTGTGATACAGCGAAACAGTCTGTCTGTGGATGACAATATATATATATATATATATATATATATATATATAATCAAATATTTGAAAAAAATGCCTTAAGTAACCATTTTCAACTAAAAGTGTGTCTCCATTTTCAGCCACTCCATGGAACTTAAACTTTTTCGTGTTTAATATAAGAAAAGCGGCACATTCTTCTAAAACGAATGTGTCACGTGACCAAAAGAAAGAAACAAAACATGGTCTCGATGGTCAGCTATTGTCACGAATATCTGGTCTGTCGAACAAATCGAGGAAATTATCGACGATAACGCCTAAAAAATATAATATGGCGTATTGCCAGTCAGCTCTCTGTGTTGGGATCACCAGTGTAGTCGTGTGGTGATCAAAGACATCAGGCACAATTTCTTCACTGAAGAACAGTATGACATGGTCGAAACGCTTTCTAAAAAAAAAGTCAAGCCCTTACTGGATCAAGTTATCCCTAAAAATTTGTCTCCCTTCTCTCCTGGTTTATAATCTATGGAATACTGAATCTGGGATGTCGTTGAGACGGAAACCCAAAAATTATCCCCACAATAACAAAGAGTCGTTTAAGGCTGCTGTAGGATAACGTCATGGCCAACATGGATAAAATGATCAGCGCATGTGATCGTTTTATTAGGTTGGTGCAAAAATAATGGCGTAATAATGTCGTTTTTTGACGTTAAAAAATACGTCAAAAACGACATTATTACGTCATTATTTTTGCACAAACGTAATAGAAGCCGTAATCGAAGCTGATGGCGATTTTGTTGAAAACATCTAAGTTTTGGGTAGGTATGTAAGAACAGATGTCTTAATTTCCGTAAAAAATAAACAAATACTGATGGAAACATAGATAAAATATGAAAACATTAACAAGAAACAAAGATGAATGAATATACATATATGTGTTTGTGTATGTGTATGTGCGTGTATGTACGTGTATGTACGTAATTATGTGTGCTTATGTGTGTGCAAGATGGAATATGTGAAAAGCCAGGTGTACATATATATATATATATATATATATATATATATATATATATATTGTTAAAAAAAGAGTAAAATGTTGACAGCAAAATTAAAACAATACCACTTGGTTCTCAAAAATTCTTTTTTATATATATTTTGTTCGAATATCAGTATATATATATATATATATATATATATATATATATATATGTGTGTGTGTGTGTGTGTGTGTGTGTGTTGAGAAAGAGAGAGAAAGATAGCTATGTCTGAGTTTGCCTAGCAAACAATATATAGAAATTTTCAATGTATATTTATATATTTCCTGTCCCGTCTATAAAAGTAAGGGAGGTAAATCAACTTAAGTTACTAAATTCATGAGTGGTTATCTCCCTTAGCTGGTTTCATAATCTATACAAATGAAATATTATAGGCAAAATTAATTCACGAGCAAAATAAACCGTTTCAGTAATTAGTTCATTACACCTACGTTTCATAGATTGCAGTCTTACTTGTTCAAGACGTTCATGAGAAGCACTCAGATATCTTTGTCTATTACGTGATCATCTTGCGTCAAATTGGTCTTTGAATGGTTTTTGATGTCGCCGTCTTTTCCATTTTCTTGCTAATTTTTTCCTTTCGAGTGATATTTCTCTATCGTTGTCGGCTCTGTCTCGTATTTCTTCATTGCTGATTGCTTCCTTCCTTTATGGTGATTGCGTTGAGGACTAAGTTGACCAGTTGTTCTTGTGTTGTTTATCTTCATCCTTTTTTATTCTGTTGGTTTCGAAGATTTTGGTTCCGATGCCGATATCGTAATGATAGAGAGACCAGGTTTTTCAACTACATAATATAACAGCTGGCTACTGAATTCGAAGAAACCCGTCTATTAGGGAGGCTAGCCAATCCTTATTGCAGACACTCGCTCAGCCACATATGTAGTTTATACTGCAACTATGCTGAGCAGACCTTATTGTTTCTGGGAGAGATCGCGTTATGTTTCTTGATCAAAATTACGACCAAGGTCAGCACATCCAATCCCTCGGTCACGATGGCTTGTGACGTCGTGCTACAGAGCCCCCCCCCCCAAGGGTTCTGTCTACCCAATTTCAAAATTCGATGTTTACCGTAGATCAACCCGCACTTTCCAGAAGCTGCCGCACGCTGGGATAGCCCCCCTCCTGATCGATAACATCAGGAGGTCTCCTTCCTGACAAATCGACCATGGTGAGATTCGAACCGGGCTCATGGTCAGAAAGCGAACGTTCTAACCTTTCCGCCACGTGCCCATATTTTTGCAACCATATAGCAAAGTTAAAATGACAACAGAATTATAGAACATATTTTTTGTTGTTAAGTTCATATCTTTGTTGTTGAAGCCTCGTTTGATTAGCTTTTCAAATTCCCTCGATACCGCACCAATTCTGTGTTCCATACCGTTTTCTGAGGTGCATTTGTTTGATAAAAGGCTTCCTAAATATGGAAAATGCTCTACTTGTTCGAGAGGTGTGTCACAGATAATAATATCAAAATCTGGGAAGATGTTATTTGGGGTTGGCTGCGCAAGAACCTTAGTTTACTCTAGATTTATCGTAGGACCAAAACAATGGCTGACCGTAGCAAAGTTGTTCACAGATTGTCGGAGATCTTTTGAATGACGGTGGACATCGTTGTCATCAGTATACTGAAGTTCTGATATTTGTTGCGTGTGTGTTAAACGTTTAGATCGAAGTCTACTAATCAGATATCACATAACAGTTCAGTTCTCTTTTCCTTGTGTTTAGCGAATGTTTTTCTGTATTTTAATACTCTATTTAGGTCCGAAGGGGGCGCCTCCCTGGTCTTTTTTCTAAAGTGAGCTCACTAAATAAGACTTGATGTGTTGACCTTCACTCTTCCATTCTTGCTACATGTCCTGACCATCGAAGACAGTGTTTAATTATCAGCGATTCGATATTTTGACAGGACTTTTGTGTTGGTCACATAGTAATTTCAGTTGATATTCAAGATTGAACGAAACTTTTTTCTGATGAAAGCGTACTAAGTTTTGGCAATCGCGACCGAATCGATTCCAGGTTTCGCAACCATATAGCAAAGTTGAAATGATAACAGAATTTTACCCTCTATGCAGATTCAATTCTGTGTTCCACACCCTTTACTGAGGTGCATTTGTTTAATAAAAGGCTGCCAAGATATGGAAAATGATCTACTTGTTCTAGAGGTCTGTCACAGATAGTAATATCAAAACCTGGGGAGATGGTATTTAGGGTTGGCTGTGCAAGGACCTTGGTTTACTCGATGTTTACCCTAAGGTCAAAACTATGGTAGGCCATAGCTAATTTGTTCACAGATCGAAGTCTACTAATGTTAAAAAATCCTCCATGATACCGATATCTGATGTAAACCCTTGCATTGTCAGGAGAAGGAAATCCGTGAAGCCTTGCAGCCAATGAAGACGGTGAAGTGACTCTAAGGGTTGGCTCAAGTACGGAACAATGACGAAACACAAGTGTCACAATGGCGCCTGACATGATCCTATTGTTCAATTAGAGACGTTTTAAAGAGGCTGCATTGTATATCTTCAAGAGGCTGGCTATCTGTTTTAGAGAATTTCACTAGATGGGCGCGACGCATCAGTAATCCTTCATTGTTGATAAATATGGTCAAGATATCATTCTTTCAATCGTGGACCAGGTTCTGGACGGCAACGCATTAGAGCCGCATGAGAAGATTTAGGCAATGTAACAGTAACAAGTGTCTTTTTAATAGTATTGTTCTCACAATTCAAAGTGCAAGTGCCCCTCAAGCTAGAGTATTATTGCTTGAAGTAGTTGTAGGTTGGAGATATCTTATTAAGGGAAAGTTTTTGAATTTTCTTTAATAAGATTTTTTGAACATTCAGCCTGGTAGACGAAAATGAATAAATATACAGTTTAATAAATAAACGGAACGTCAACTCAAATACGAGTAACCACTAAAAATAACTGCTGTGACCAAGTAAATGGTGAAGAATAAGAGATTACGGATAAATAGTATATTGAACAGTAAATGTGTGGGAATATTGATTGTGGTTAAAAACCATAGGAATCTGATTGTTGTTTTTACTTTTCTTGTATGTGAGAAGTGTGTTACGATTTATGTGGATAGTTTTATTTAGTGCTTCTTTTATTATTTTTATTGGATATTTACATTTTAGGAATTGTTTTGTTAAGTTTTTTGTTTTTAACCACAATCAATATTCCCACACACTTATTCACAATTTAAAAAAGGATTACAAGAACCTCCAGTTAAACAAAAAGATCAAAGACATTTTCGATAAACCACCATAAATGCAAAGAAACAATCACCTAACCTATCAGCTATCCTCACCTCTACGAAATATCTAAACAATACAAACCAATCAGGAAATTACAAATGTAACAAACCTCGTTGCTTAGTTTGCAAACACTTAATAATAGATAATGTATTTTCTGTACCCAACACCAAAATCAATATACACCCACCTCACCTCACCTGTGATAGACATAACATAATCTACTATTTATTCTGTACCATATGTCCTAATAGTGGATATATTGATGAATCTGGAAATAATTTTAGATTTCGCTTCAACAATCATAAACAAACCATACGTCAAAACAATCCTTATTCCCCCATAGCTGAACACTTTAGTCAATCAGAACACTCATTAGAAAACTGTAAATGTTTATTGATAGATTCTGATTTCAGTTTCACATACACGCGCAGAAAAAAAAGAAAAATACTGGATTTTAAAATTAAATACATATAAACTAGGGTTAAATAAAGACTTGGGTATTTTAAATCTTTATAAATATTTCAATAGTTAAAAACTTTTTTAGATATAGTTAAAAATTTTGTCTATTTTTTTAAACAACATCTAAAATATTATTACAGTTAGATTTACGTTAGGAATATTCGAACACAGTGGCGTTCCATATCACGTGACGTGCGCGTCTCGCCACGGACGCTACTTGTAAGCAAACAGTAATTTTAATTTATTTGTAACAAACAGTTATTTCTGAAGAAAGATTGAGGTCAATCTGAAATATCAAATATATATATAAATAAATAAATAATTTCATAAAAAACATTATTATTTTGTAATTTGCAACTTTTTTCTATACATACATATTAAGAAAGTATACGTGGCTTCTCATTTCTATTCTATATATATATATATATATATATATATATATATATATATATATATATATATATATAGGTGTAACAGCAAAATTGTCCATTTATTAGATTAAGCATTGAACCGTTGTATCTTAGAAAGGATTAAAGATATAATACTGAAATTCTCCGAGATTTTTATAACAGGTTTGGTCTCTAATTTGAGCAATAAGAATATATATTTTCTCTCCAAGCTTAACAGAAGAATCGTGATGAAATCGATCATAAACGAAAATGACATGTTCATCATTAAATAATCATAGCTAAGGATCGGAAGTTCATGAAGGATGAAAATAAAGTTCAAATATATATATATATATATATATATATATATATATATATATATATATATTTTCTAACTTATCCAAGATGATCTTCGCCTTCTCTAACCTTCTAACTTTCTGTCCTGGTGTAACAAAGTGCCTCAAAAGTTTCACGTACGATTTCATTTTCAAGTCTTTTTTCTCTGCTCTTTGGACTGTCATAGCTGAAACTTCCCCCCTCACACGTGCCAAATGTTTTATGAATTGAGATGGATCATTTCTAATTGATCTCTTTAGCCCCAAGTTGAAAGGATGATCTCTATTTCTGTTGTGACCTCCTGATCCAGATTTCCTCTCTACTGTTCACTCTTTTTAAAACTTATTCACTGTTCTCTTGATGGTTCTTGAATGGATGTAAGCCAGAATATGAATGTTGGTAGCCTTACTGTAGGCCTGAATGATATTTTCCCTCCCGCCATTGATCCGTTGGGATGATATGGTGGATCGGACAGAAAACGATTTTAACCCGTTGTCTTTCTAGTTGAATAACTTAAAGCGTTTTTCAGTAATTCTTACGACAAATGGTGTCAAGATGGCTAAACGTCTTATGTGAAAACACGGAATAAAGAAATTAGTTTAGTGATTTTTAGATATTAAACATTTTGTCGGATTCGACTATTATCTCATGCTGTTATACGATATGAACAATTTGGCTGTCATATCCTGTATATTATATACACTCCATCAAAATTAAAAGATAACATCCACATAACACACACATCCCCTTTCCAGCAACCAGTAGAACTGTCAAGATGACGAAAGAAGTAAAACTGATACTGATGGATCTCCAGAGCTCTCCTTACAAAATCAACTTGAACCCATCCCATAACTGACCAAAAATTAACTATAAAAAAATAAATGAAACCTACAAGCCAAGTTCAACTTCCTCAGAGACAGCCATTCAGCTTTGTATTTCCCTGCTACTAAAAAGCATTAATAATAAATAAATAAAACAAAAATATTAACTATAAAAAAATGAAAACTTCAGGCCATATTTAACTTCCTCAGAAATTGCCATTCACCTTTGTATTTCACTGCTACTTGAAAGCATTATGTTTTTCTTTAGATGATTAAAATTTTTATTTCTCAATATATATATATATATATATATATATAGTGTCGCTGACAAAACTAACCTGGCCGCTCGTCTTGAAATGAACCTCAAATTGGTTGTGAATTGGGGTAAGAATTGGCTGGTCAACTCTAACGCCTCAAAAACTAAACTGCTCTCTAGTAATCACCACAGAGATCCTTCCCTCCACTCCCCCCACCCACCATTAGAATGTCTGATGCTCAACTTCTCGAGAGCACCTCTCTGCGGCTGCTCGGTCTCACGTTGACTGCTGACCTGAGATGGAACAAATACATTGAGTCAATTGCTTCGTCCACCGCGAGGAAAGTTGGCTCCCTGTGCCGCGCCAGGAAAATTTTCTCCCCGGAATCGATACTTCAAATCTACAAAACAACCATTCGCCCTTGCATGGAGTATTGCTGCCATATATGGTCTGGGGCACCTTCTGTTTGCCTCGGGGTTCTTGATAAGACCCAAAGGCGGATATACAATATAATTGGCCCTGATCTGGCATCTCGTCTACAGTCGCTCTCTCACAGAGAGGCTGTCGCCTCTCTCTGTCTTTTTTACAAATACTTTCATGGTAATTGCTCCGATGAACTGCTTTCACTGGTTCCCAGACTTCATGAATTCAAGCGACCTACGAGGCTGGCATCCCGCTCTCACCCATTTACTGTAGAAACTGTTAAATGTAGCCGTCTGTTCTACTTCAGTAGCTTCATATCTCGCACCTCACGCCTGTGGAACCCCCTTCCCTATTACTGTTTCCCTGAGAGCTATAATCTCCAACTATTCAAATGTAATGTCAATCGCCATCTCCAGTTACCTTGATCTATCCACTATCCTTCTCCTCATTCTTTTTTTCTATCACTCCTATCTGATCTTTGCTCCAAATCTTCTGTAACCCCTTGCGTCCTAGTGGCTTCCCGCCTTACTCAGGGTGTAATGCTTATATATATATATATATATATATATATTATGAGAAATTATAATAAAAAACATTTTGAAATCGCTACACAAAGGGTTCCATGTTTCAATACTTTGATTGTATTTCTTCAGGTGATGTTAAGTTTCTTTATCATCGCCTGAAGAAGTACAATCATAGTGGATGGTTCATGGTTCTTCAATAGACTTTAAAAATGGAAGCCGGAATATGAATGTTGGTACCATTACTAAAGGCCTGAATGATATTGTTGTGAATTCCGGGATGAAATCCGGTACCAATAAATAACAAACGCCAAGAATGAATATAGGAAAATAATGTATTAACGTAATAATACAAACTGGTAAAGCAGGTTAGTAGTTCCAGGAATACGGGTTCGTAGCAAAATATCTAAACAGTCTTTGGTATTGAAGTATCGCTGTATGACTTCTTACTGTGTCTACGTGTTCGCTCACGGTGACTCTTGCTGGCTACGTTCGTTCTGTCTGTCAGTCTGTTACCTTCACCCTCAGTTGCTCTCGTCTCTCGGGTCTTCACGTAGCAGTAGTATATGTATATACTGGGTGAGTCCATTTGTGTAAAAAGTGGAGGACCCCTCAACAGATATTTTCCTTGCACCATTGCTCAGTTGGGATGATATGGTGGAGATGAATAACTTAAAGCGTTTTTCAGTAATTCTTACGACAAATGGTGTCAAGGTGTTATTTGAAAACATGGAACAAAGAAACTGAATTAGTTTAGTGATTTTTAGTTTAGATATTGAACCTTTTTCGGGATTCGATTATTACCCCATACTTTTATACGATTTGTACATTTTTTTAGGTTGCATGTATGTTTTAATACATGAGTAACGATGTAGTTGATTCCCCCTACAGTAGGTTGCCATTTCTTTCTGCGGTAGGACAGTTGCCAACCAAAACTATAGAACCTGGTCTGTCCTGCTATTTAACCATAGCTGGAGGGAAAATAAGATGATTCATATCTTTCCCAAGGGTGTTAGCACGTAAGTGAATGTAAGGGATTTGATTGGAATTTGAACTCGGCTCACTAAATCCTCAATCCGAGTTGCTATCAATTGCTCCTACAGGCCATTCACTTCTCTATTTCATCGCTACTAGCAACCATTATTTTTTTTCTCCTGATGATGGCCATGCTGGCTGGAACGAGTCGAGGAACGTAATTGAAAAGCAAAACAAAAATATTAATATACAATATGTGCCAGAAATTTTCACTTTCAGCAATTTTATTGATCAAGATACACACACACACACACACACACACACACATATATATATATATATATATATATATATATATATATATATATATATATATATATATATATATATATATATAATATTAATGGTAAATATACACATACATATGCAAAATATATAAATATATATACATACACACATACACATACATATATATTTGTATAAAATAAAAAATTATTCAAGCGGATAGAATCAGGTAGAACTCAATGTCCAGGGCAGAGTAAAAAAATAATAATATGGATCGTATTTACGATTTAAATTTAATAAACTATGGCCATGGAATATTAGTGTTTAAACCTTTTTATCATATATATATATATATATATATATATATATATATATATATATATATATATATTTGTTATATTGGAACATGAAAATTACCCAAACAAAAATTCATATTAATTTCAATATCTAATTTAGACATCTCATTTTCAGAATCTCATCAAGTGTTTACGATTAACGTTAATCACCTGAAGAGATGTCTAAATTTGACATTGAAACAAATATGCCTTTTTTTTTTCGTGGTAACTTGCATGTTCCAGTGTAAAACTTTATAATCAATATTTATTGCTTTACTCTTGTATAGATCCCTGTTTTTAAATTAATGTTATGAACATTTGAATTTATATTCTTTATTTTTTTCGGATATTTTTCTATCTATCTTCTATATCTATCTATCTATCTATCTATCTATCTATATATATATATATATATATATATATATTATTATATATCTATCTATCTATCTATATATATATATATATATATATATATATATATATATATATATTATTATTATTATTATAACATTTTATAAGAAAAAAATTTTAAAACGTTACAGACAAGCCTTCATGTTTCAATACTTTGATTGTAATTTTTCAGGCGATGGTAACTAACTTACCATCAAAAGAAGTATCATAGTATATATATATATTTAAACATGATTTTATTATAATCTATTTTATATATATATAAAATAATATATTTCTCTATTTGCATTGAGCACTTTTTTCTAAGTAAATACACATATTTTTATATATATATATATATATATATATATATATATATATATATTATATATATATATATATATATATATTTATAAGACAGATATATATATATATATAAAATATATGCAAATGTATAAAAATATATATAATATATATATATTTAAATATAAATATATATAAATAAAATATATAAAGAAATACAAATTTGTAAAGAATGTAAAAAGGAAAAAAAGAAAGGAAGAAAAGAAAAGAAAAAATAAAAAAGAAAAGTAAAAAGAAAAGAAAAAAGAAAAAGAAAGAAAGAAAAAAGAAAAATGAAAAAAAGGAAAAGAAAGAAAGAAAAGAAAAGAATGAAAAAAAAAAGAAAGAAAGAAAAAAAATAAATAAAATAAAAAGGAAGAAAAGAAAGAATGAAAAAAGAAAAAGCAAGAAAGAAAGAAAATAAATAAATAAAGGAAGAAAGAAAGAATGAAAAAAGAAAGAAAGAAAGAAAAATGAATAAAGAAAGAAAGAAAGAAAAAAGAAAGAAAAAGAAAGAATGAAAAAGAAAGAAAGAACGAAAGAAAGAAAGAAAGAAAGAAAGAAAGAAAGAAAGAAAGAAACAACGAAAGAGCTTGTTTGTGTTCGTGTGTGTGAGTATGTGTGTATGCATTCGGGGATATAATTACTCTGAAACGGAGAACTCGCGTCAGGAAATTCATACTGTGTCGACATTGTAAATTTGAACGTTCACGATGATTTGATGTCAAATAAATAACCTGATTGCGTTGTGGCGCTCTCCTTTTAAGGGAGGAACTATCCGCCTTGTAAATAAGCGCTTAAATGGCTGTCTTTTATTGGGAGATGAATATCACTGATGCCAGGAAGGAGGCGACGTCAAGGACGGCTATAAATTTGCATAGATAAATATGAACAGAGATATTGAAGAGAGATAGTGTCTAAGGAGCCCACTGTGGTGGAGATAGTAGGGATATATTGAACAGACTCTGATAGATAGATAGATAGATAGATAGATAGATAGATAGATAGATAGATAGAAATAGCATGAGCTAGATAGATAGATAGATAGATAGATAGATAGATAGATAGATAGATAGATAGATAGATACTGTATGTATAGGATTAGATTTGAATAGCATGAGATAGATAGATAGATAGATAGATAGATAGATAGATAGATAGAGAGATAGATAGATAGATAGATAGATAGATAGATAAGAATAGCATGAGGTAGGTAGATAGTTAGATAAGAATAGTATAAGATAGATAGATAGATAGATAGATAGATAGATAGATAGATCGAGAGAGAGAGAGAGAGAGATATGAATAGCATGAGATAGATAGATAGATAGATAGATAGATAGATAGATAGATAGATATGAATAGTATAAGATAGATGAATGGGTGAATATGAATAGCCTGAGATAGATGGGTGTAGATGAATGGATAGATAGATAGATAGATGATAGATGATATGATGAATGTATGTATAGGATTAGATTTGAATAGCATGAGATAGATAGATAGATAGATATGAATAGTATAAGATAGATAGATAGATAGATAGATAGATAGATAGATCGAGAGATAGATATGAATAGCATGAGATAGATAGATATGAATAGTATAAGATAGATAGATAGGTAGATATGAATAGCCTGAGATAGATAGATAGATAGATAGATAGATAGATAGATAGATAGATAGATAATGTATATATAGGATTAGATTTGAATAGCATGAGCTAGATAGATAGATAGATAGATAGATAAATAGATATGAATAGTATAAGATAGATAGATAGATATGAATAGCATGAGATATATAGATAGATAGATAGATAGATAGATAAGAATAGTATAAGATAGATAGATAGATAGATAGATAGATAGATAGATAGATAGATAGATAGATATGAATAGCATTATTTAGATAGATAGATAGATAGATAGATATGAGAAAACATGAACTGACAGATACGAAAATAATAATATATACAAAATAATATAAACACAATGAGATGAGAAAATTTCATTAGAAAGAGCGACATAAAAATCAGAACTTCTAAGTAAAATCAATCCTCCAATATGGCACTGCATATTGGACAATTTCCTCACGGATGAAGCAAAGAGATTTAACCATACAAAAGGATGCTGAGAATACCATAGATGGTGCATACCATGTAGAGGGCTACTAAATGAGGGTGTTGAAAGTGGGCTTGTGAGTTTCTTCCACAAATCAGCAGTAATTAGGAAAATCTTCGAATTGTAACTTGCTTCTTACCAGTGAAATACGTCGTGACTGAGGATGATTCAACCCTGGTCTCATCGTCTGGGGTGTTTTAGCTTTAAAATTATGGACATCTGAGGGCAAAAGGATGGAGGGAAACATAAAGTAACCCAATTAACGATATTGCGTAAACGGATGACAAAATGGTGAGTGGAAGAGAGAGCAAAAAAAGAGAAAGTTTCTTAGGATCTACAAAGGACAGGAAATCGTGGAGAAACATTATCACCCTCGTCCTGAAGGGAATCAGCAAATAAAAAAAAGAAGAAAAAGTATGAAAAAGAACATAAACTACAAGAACAGCGAACTGAACTGACACGGCATATAGAAGAAAAAGAAGAAGAAGAGAAGAAGAAGAAGAAGAAGAAGAAGCGGGGGAGGAGGAGGAAGAAGAAGAAGAGGAGGGGGAAGAAGAAGAAGAGGAGGAAGAAGAAGAAGAAGAGGAGGAGGAAGAAGAAGAAGAAGAAGAACAACAACAACAAGAATGTCGGAGATGGCAAAGAAGAATGGTAAATGCGATTTAAAATGATAGAGACAAACGACAAGAAGAAGAAGAAGAAGAAGAGGATGAAGAAGAAGAAGAAGATGAGGAGGAGGAAGAGGAAGAGGAGGGGGAAGAAGAAGAAGAAGAAGAAGGAGCAGGACGAGGAGGAAGAAGAAGATGATGAAGAAGAAAAACAACAACAAAAACAAAAACAACAAGAATGTCGGAGATGGCAAAGAAGAATGGTAAATGCGTTTTAAAATGAAAGAGACAAACGACAAGAAGAAGAAAAAAGAAGAAGAAGAAAAAAGAAGAAGAAGAAGAATTTCAGAGATGGCAAAGAAGAATGGTAATTTTTTTTTTTAAAAGGAAGAGACAAACCACAAAAAGAAGAAGAAGAAGAAGAGGAGGAGGAGGAGGCAGCTGAAATCACGCAATATATAAAAGAAAAATAACAAGAACAGCAACAAAAATGAGCTGAATTTATTGGGAATGAAGAAGAAGAACAACAAAAACAATAAGCTTAATGGACACGGTATATAGAAGAAGAAGAAGAAGAAGGAAGAGGAGGAGGAGGAAGAAGAAGAAGAAGAAGAAGGAAGAGGAGGAGGAGGAAGAAGAAGAAGAAGGAAGATGAGGAGGAGGAGGAGGAGGAAGAAGAACAAAGAAGAGGAGGAGGAGGAAGAAGAAGAAGAAGGAAGAGGAGGAGGAGGAAGAAGAAGAAGAAGGGAGAGGAGGAGGAGGAAGAAGAAGAAGAAGATGAGGAGGAGGAAGAAGAAGAATAGGAGGGGAAAGAAGAAGAAGAGGAGGTAGAAGAAGAAGAAGAAGAAGAAGGAGCAAGACGAGGAGGAAGAAGAAGATGATGAAGAAGAAAAACAACAACAAAAACAACAACAACAAGAATGTCGGAGATGGCAAAGAAGAATGGTAAATGCGTTTTAAAATGAAAGAGACAAACGACAAGAAGAAGAAGAAGAAGAAGAAGAAAAAAGAAGAAGAAGAAGAATTTCAGAGATGGCAAAGAAGAATGGTAATTTTTTTTTTTTTTAAAGGAAGAGACAAACCACAAGAAGAATAAGAAGAAGAAGAAGAAGAAGAAGAATAAGAAGAAGAAGAAGAAGAAACGGGGGAGGAGGAGGAAGAAGAAGAAGAGGAGGGAGAAGAAGAAGAAGAAGCGGGAGAGGAGGAGGAAGAAGAAGAAGAGGAGGAAGAAGAAGAAGAAGAAGAAGAAGAAGAAGAAGGAAGAGGAGGAGGAGAAGAAGAAGAAGAAGGAAGAGGAGGAGGAGGAAGAAGAAGAAGGAAGAGGAGGAGGAGGAGGAGGAAGAAGGAAGAGGAGGAGGAGGAGGAGGAAGAAGAAGAAGAAGAAGAAGAAGCTGAATGTTGGCGATATAGAGAACAACAACAACAAGCTGGCTGGACATGATATAAAGGAAAAGGAGGAGGAGGAGGAGGAGGTGCAAGAGGAGATTGTGTAAATGGTTGGCAAAACAGAGCTTGGGAGAAATAACGAAAAGACATACTTTTGGAAGAACTATAAAGGAAAGGAAATAATGGAGAGCCGTGATCGCCCACGTTCTCACGAAATACGGCACATAAACGAAGCATATATAAATATTTCTAAAAGTTATGGATCTTAAAAAAATATGAGTACCGCAATATTCAACAGTCATAGAACATTTTCCACTTTTACATTTTAATATATTTTCCTTCTCCTATATTGCATACCGTCTTTGAATCATTGATGTTTTTAATCGTTCCACTATTTCGAATTCAACACAATTTGTTTTCCTTTCTGCAAAATCTTTATTATTTAAATATTTTTTCCCATTCTAATAAAGGTTGTTTCAATCAATCGGACCGATTTTAAATGTGAATTCAGTTTAAGTGTCTAATGGTATTTTTTTTTTTCAGATTTGGTTGACATTCGGGCGATATTATTTTTCACACATAATTGCCATGACTTAAAGAACATGATCAAAGAGAAATAAATAAATTTTCACCAACAACACTGATTTTTTTTACTGCGGATTTTGATCCGTCTTAATGAAACACCCTTATATATAATCCATCTTAATGAAACAACCTTTATATAGCAACGAACCGTTGCCTTCTAAGGAAACATTCGGGATTCATTGACCGAAAATCTTACGTAAGTCTTAGTTGAAATTTCATAAAAATAAATAAAACACTTTTCCAAGCTTTTTAAGTTTTACTGATAACGATCTTCTTACGCCAACGATCTTTGTAGTATTGATGGGGTTTTGCTTTCTACTGTTATTTAATGAAGTTCTTTGTAGCTGATTCTGTAGCGCCAGATATTTAAGATCTGATGAAGGGTTGGCATCTTCATTGCCTAGAGCAGGGATGGACAAACCGCGGCCCAGAGAGCCACATGCAACTTTTTGACGTTTAATATGCCACTCGGGGAAATATGTTGGCAGAGCTTCTTTTGCTTCTCAGTTAACATAAAAGGTAAGAAAAAATTCAAGCTTTATAATTATTTACTGGGTTGAATAGAGACCCCATTGAATTAAATCGTAAATTTAATGTTCATTGTTAATTAAAATATTGAAGAATTTAAATCCTAATTTTAATCCTAGATCTGAGTGAGTCATTTTTCTTTAGTCCCGAGGGAAGGAATGGTGGGAGTAGAGGGATTAAAGAAATTTCTGGTCAGCAAGGGTTACATAACAATGTCAAAAGACTGAGGTCATAGGTGAGGGGTCAAGAGGACCACACACTTACCATGTACATTAATACACTATAACACAAGATGTTGAATTGTGCAGTTCTAGTTGGTATACTTTGGATGCAAGTTTTGGTTAAAAGTGTCAAGATTTTGAAAACATTTGGTATACTGAAATCAATTTAAAAACTGCACACATGAATAAATATTATTGAATACAAATTTCTTAACATATAAATATATATATATATATATATATATATATATATATATATATATATATATATATATATATATATATAGTAGTGGCCATAATATAAGGAACGGAAACAACAAAGACATAAATATATGTTTTACTTAAAAAGTAATGCATGATTAGCAATGACATTTTTACTGAATAAAGATTAGGGTGTAATAAAATATACAAAGTTACAAAAATTTACATAATAGTTTTTTTAAATAAAGATTAAATGGAACAAAGGGAATAAGCTACTGGACAAAAGTTAAGGAACGATCTTGTTAATATTTGATTGTCAACAAAATATCAACAAAATTTAATATTTGGTAAACATCCCCTTATTTTCAAAGAC